AACTACCTTCTTGGAATCCGGTGCTAATATGTCAGCTAACGAATTTTCAATATAGTTTAGCTCTTTCTTAGAAATACGTTTACTATGTGACGGTCGATCCGAAACATAGAAGAACCAAAGAAAACACCATAAAAACGCCGGCCGTACCTAAAAAAAGTATGTTTGGAAATCATATCAGAAATGGTTCCTTGAAATATAAATTATTTATAATCAGGCAAATTTCAGGAAATATTGAAACATGTGATTTTTAAACTTGCCGATAACGTAAAAGATGGATGGCCAACCACCTGCAAATCCATACTTACAAAGTAAACCGGACAATGGCATCACCGCTGTATTACCTATTTGAGCACCTGTAATAAAATTTACTTAATAATCAAAGTTGGCGAAATGTATCACTCAATTTGAAACCATTCCTGGAATAAATTGGAAATTAAATTTTGAAGCTTTAATTTACTGTCAGATTATTGTCTCTATGAAAAAGGAGAAATGTAAGCGAACCTGCATATGTCAAACCCGTTAATAAACTTCTTTCCAGAGGTGGCGCCCACATTGACCACATGGTATGAAACGCAGGAAATATGGCACCCTGCAAATTGAAAATGTAACGAGACCTCCCTAAGACGGGAAGATTAAATGGAAAACTTGCAAGCATGAAAAGTTCCTTGCAAATTTACATATGTAAACAGATTTAAATGAAGAGAGTTAATTATTAGGCTTATTGTAGTACCTGCATAAAGCCCATGAAAGCTCGGACAACGATGAATGCAAAAACGCTGGTTGTTGCGGCTAATGGACTGATCAGAGTAAGAACTGCACTTCCGAGAATCGTAAAACCGATCACTAAACGACCACCGTATCGACCGGCTAAATAACCACCAAGGATCTGGCTGAAAATATAGCCCCAAAAGAAGGCACTCAGTACATAGCCTTGCTCATCTTTCTTCCAAACCAATTCACCCATAACCTGAAATTTATTTGTTGGAGGATAATCAAGTATCAGGTGCAATACTTTGCATATCCTTAAATGTATCATGCAGTCTGTTTGTTCATGTAGTAAAGTCATTACAGAGTCATTTCAGGAAACGGAATGGGGAAGGCTTCAAATTTCAAAGTCAGTGGCATTGCATTCCAATGCTAATAAAGCTTTAGCAGTTATAATCTTAATTAAAATAGGGGATTATTTTCATATTTGTTGGAATTTCAAACTGAAAATATTTCAATGAAATGATAAGCATACTGTATCCTTTTCAGTTGATTCACTATCACCGTGTAGTGCGCATGCACTAGCTTTCTTTGTTATATTAGCACCACCGGTACCAGATAACATTTCCACCGCTGTGCTATTGACCAAACAACGATTGCAAAGCTGACATCGGTACGCAACGCGTAGATAAC